CAACAAAAATTTTTTAAATCGTGAATAACAGTAAATAGCAATGCAAAAAATTTACAATACTTTTTCAATGTTACAACAAAACTTTATAGACAATGTACGGTAATTACGCGTACTCGTTCTCGTATTCGTACAACAGAAATTATTTTCAAATAATTCCTTATGCAAATAATGCAAAATTGTTATATTATTCTGTTTAATGAATTATTATTATTTAGACATATTGAATTAATTGCTGCAAGTTAATTGCTAGACTCATTAAATTTGATGAATGTTTACCAATATATGAATGAGCTACAATTCAGTTTGAGCAATGAAGCGTAAACGAAACATTGGACCACTAATTTTAAACAGCAAAAAACACAAGCGCAAAAAAAGATTTAATGAAATAAGTGTTATTTAACACTTACTTTGTGCTCAATGGTCGTTTGTAGATTCTTATCCAAATGCACCTTTATATATAATTTGGGTGCCATCCAATTTGGCACGAATACGTTTGCCTACGATCTCTGCTGAAAACACTAAATCTTCTAAAATAAAATACACAGCAGTTAAACTACGCGAACGGATTATTGCACCGTCTTGTTTTTACGAAAACTTTGTAGTTACTCGTTCACTATCTAAGTCTTTACGGTGCTGATATAACTCTTCCTCTTCAAGTGGTCCTTGCAAACCCTTATGAAATATTTTTCTCATCCACCAGAAACTCCATCTCGAAAATATATTACCGGTTGAGTAGGGATTCTTTGGGCGTTCAATTTTTCTTCTAGTCCGATTCATGTTAAATTTCTTTATTTACAGTTACGTTTGGTTATGATAAACCAAAAATGTAGTAATAAATTCGAAGTTCAAGAAATGAAGATAACCGACACGAGCACCACTCAATATGGTGAATGCAACAAAAATTTTTTAAATCGTGAATAACAGTAAATAGCAATGCAAAAAATTTACAATATTTTTTCAATGTTACAACAAAACTTTATAGACAATGTACGGTAATTATGCGTACTCGTTCTCGTATTCGTACAACAGAAATTATTTTCAAATAATTCCTTATGCAAATCATGCAAAATTGTTATATTATTCTGTTTAATGAATTATTATTATTTAGACATATTGAATTAATTGCTGCAAGTTAATTGCTAGACTCATTAAATTTGATGAATGTTACCAATATATGAATGAGCTACAATTCAGTTTCAGCAATGAAGCGTAAACGAAACATTGGACCACTAATTTTAAACAGCAAAAAACACAAGTGCAAAAAAAGATTTAATGAAATAAGTGTTATTTAACACTTACTTTGGGCTCAATGGTCGTTTGTAGATTCTTATCCAAATGCACCTTTATAATTTGGGTGCCATCCAATTTGCCACAAATACATTTGCCTACGATCTCTGCTGGAAACACTAAATCTTCTAAAATAAAATACACAGCAGTTAAACTACGCGAACGGATTATTGCACCGTCTTGTTTTTACGAAAACTTTGTAGTTACTCGTTCACTATCTAAGTCTTTACGGTGCTGATATAAGTCTTCCTCTTCAAGTGGTCCTTGCAAACCCTTATGAAATATTTTTCTCATCCACCAGAAACTCCATCTCGAAAATATATGAGCGGTTGAGTAGGGATTCTTTGGGCGTTCAATTTTTCTTCTAGTCCGATTCATGTTAAATTGTAGTAATAAATTCGAAGTTCAAGAAATGAAGATAACCGACACGAGCACCACTCAATATGATAAATGCAACAAAAATTTTTTAAATCGTGAATAACAGTAAATAGCAATGCAAAAAATTTACAATATTTTTTCAATGTTACAACAAAACTTTATAGACAATGTACGGTAAAATTACGCGTACTCGTATTCGTACAACAGAAATTATTTTCAAATAATTCCTTATGCAAATCATGCACGAAATCCACGTCGTAGTAAAAGAGAAACAATAATTGAGCTTTACTATCGAAAACAAACATCACAGAAACATTCACAGAAATAAAAAAAACACCCTACAGAGTTAAGGAACTGTTGCGCTAACGCTACCAATTGCCAGATATCGTCGATCCGACGATATCTATAAACAAAAAAATAATCAAATCACCCTGACAAAAATGGTCATTTAAAAATTGTGTTGGTTAAGGTGGTGATAATAACAAATGGTTGCTCTTGTGGATCTTGGTGCGTAATGGTATCAACAAGATTCTTTATAGTTCACTTAACTTCGACCGCAAAGTAGCCTCGTCTCTCCAGGATATTAAAATGCAAACCCGTACAAAACCGATACTTTTTGATATGAGTATCGGTATTTGACAATATCAAGATCAGCACTAAATAATACTGGAGTGTTGTACTCAAAAAAGCACTTCTCGGTGAATGGTTGAAAATAGATTTATAGGTTTATATATAGGTTCTACATGTTTATTTGCATACAAGGGGTAGTTCATTTGTTGACGACTCCAAGAAAATAATTCGAGATCCATTGTTATGTCTCCTATACAAGATCCTAAACAGCATTACCTAAATTATATATATAATAATTGTATATGTATTCGTACAGCTCATTCCACTATAAGTACAATTAACTAAAAATAATTAATAGCATTTTTGTGAAATTTAACATTTTACAGTTAATCAATGTATTTATATATTTTATATACGTAATATTGAAAATAGACAATTCTACGACGACATTATTTTTTGCTTTTGCTTTTATTAATAGTTGTTTTTTCTTTCGTTTTGTTAGTTGTTTTTTTTCCTTTTGATATAGCTGGTTGCTTTTTGACTGACGTAGCTTTCACATACTCGTCGTGTAAGTGCTTATTTACTTTTGTAGTTGTATATGTGTCTGCGTGTGTGTTGCTGCAGTAATAGTGTTTCTTGTCGTCAATAAGCTTATAAGTATGAAAAGTTCAATATAATTTAATCAATTCAGGGGAAAAAGAAAAGCAATAAAAATCAAGCTTGGTTTTTTTTTGAATTCTGCAAATATATAAAACATATTTAAAATGATAGAAATATACGTTTGCTTGTTACATATTAACTTCGAACCACGGAAAAGCATAAGAGCAGTAATTATTGTACAAAACAACAAAGCATGCTGCTGGCTGGTATGCTTAGCTCGCCGCTACTAGTGACGCGACGGACAATAGAAGCAACAAAAACAAAACATAAATATGCTAAAGAAATAACAAATTTTTACCGGTACACCAGCTGTTTTCAATGACGAATTGAAAGCAGCTGATGTTGTTGTTAGTATTGTTTTGTTTGCTGCTGTTGCCTGTGCTGTTACTAATGTAGTTGTTGTGGTTGTTTTTGCGTTTTATGTGTAGTAGATGTCACAAAAATGTTAATGACATTTTGAGTGCACTTTAATATTTTTAAAGGTAATTAAAAAAATAAAACATAAGATGAAAATATTATGAAATAGTGTAAAAAAACAGAAATTAAAAAACAAATGTATTAAAAAAATGTAGAAAATCAGTATTTATTTTTGCTAAAATTACAATTTCTTTTCTCTTTATAGTTACTAAATCTTAGAATAGTAAGAGGAGAAGGAGATATATATAAGTACATTAAAATAATAACAAAAACAGACGATAAAGATTCTGACTTTTGCTTAAACAACAAAAGCAGTAAGTAATGTTAATAATTTATTAAAAAAATTACAATTATTGTAGATATTGCACTGATGAAATAATTAAATTTGCACAAAATTATATTTAAAAAGAATTTGTATTCAGTTATTTGTTATTTGTTACAACGTTTTATTATATAAAATATATAAAAAGGCAAGATACATTCATTGATACATATACAGAGATACATTCATACATTTCATTGAAT